ATATAATGAGTAAGTTTAATAACTCAAACATGGCTGAAGATCAAATTGTTAATTTGTAAGATAAAGTTGAGAAACAGTTCTCCAAGAATTAGAGCAAAAAGTTAGAGAGTTGTAAGAGAAGAAGTTCAAGATGTGGAGGATAGACTCAGATGTTCCAAAATCATTTTAATGAGATCTGAAAGGAGAAGATAAAGACTATGAAAGAAGTACAGGAAGTCCCTAGGTAACAAATGACATCCATTCCTATGTCTTTAAGAATTTGTCAGGGCTTTGAAGTGATTCTTTCCGGTTCAGTTATGGTCAAGGAAGAGTCACTGAACAGACCTGAATTTTTACAGTTATGGAGAACCAGAAGGATAGTCAGAATGGGAAAAATTATAAGTCAAAGAATTGCTAGAAACGTAATCTCCCTCTTAAAGAAGAAAGGCATGTACACATTGCATAATAACCACAGCTCTTGCCCTCAGATTTTAAGCACAACCTGAAGCAGTGCTGCTCTGCTCAAAGATGGCAGCACTCTGCTCAAACATGGCAGCCCATTGCACCATTTTGAATGCGTCTCACTCTCCTACAGTCCTACCAATAATCCAATCTCATGCATAAAGCCCAGACAGCTTCATTGAAGAATTCTAACAAACATTCAGAGAAGATCTGACATCAGTTCTACTCAAACTATCCCAGAACATGGAAAAGTATGGAATACTCCTGAATTCATTCTATGAAGCAGGCGTAACCCTGATACCAAAGCCAGGCAAGCACATCACTGAAAAATAAATTTTAGACCAATGTCCGTCATGAATATAGGATTTCTCAACAAAATCCTAGCCAATAGAATTGAAAACCATATCAAATAATAATAATAATAATAATACATCATGACCAAGTGGGATTTATACTGGATATGCAAGGATGGTTTAACACTGGAAATTCAGTCACCATAATCCACCACATAAATAAAGGGAAAGAACCACATGTTTGTAATGATTGATGCAGAAAAGGCGTTTGATAAAATCCAACACCCATTCCTGATAAAAACTCAGCAAAATAAGAATAGAAAGGAAATTCCTCAACATAATTAAGGACATATACGCAAAACAAACAGCTAACATTATTCTCAACAGAGAGCAAAAGCATTCCCCTTGTGAACAGGTACCAGATAAAGAGGCCTTCTGTCACCACTTTTGCTTGATATTGTATTAGCAGTCCTAGCAGAGCAGTAAGACAAGAAAGGGAAATAAGCGGCATCCAAATTGTCAAAAAGGAAGTAAAACTGTTTCTATTTGCAGATGATATGATCCTACACACAGAAAATCCCAGATATTCAACAAGAAAAATATTACTGCTTCCAGAAGGATTCAGCAAAGTGTCAGGATTATTATACAAAAATAAGTGAGATTCTCCTACACTAATAAAGAGAACGCTGAAAAGGAAATCAGGAAAACAGTACCATTTATAGTAGCCACCCCCAAAAAAGGGATATTTTGGAATAAACCTAACCAGGAATATAAAAGACTTATACAAAGAAAACTAGAAAACACTAAACAGAAAACCAGAAGAAACCTACATAAATGAAAGAACACACCATGCTCATGGATGAGAAGAAGTAACATTGTAAGATGTCAATGCTCCTCAAAGCAATCTATAGACATAATGCAATCCTGATCCAGATTCCATCAACCTTCTTTAAAGAGATGGAAAACCTGATCACCAACTTTATATGGAAAGGAAAGGTCCCAGATGAGAAAGCACTATTGAGGAAGAACAACGTAGGAGGCTTCACACTTCCAGATTTCAGAGTTTATTATACAGCCATGGTAGACAAAACAGCCTGGCATTTGTACAATGACAGGCAAATAGACCAATGGAACAGAATTGAGAACCCAGAAGTAAATCCATTCACCTCTGGACAACTGATCTTTGGCAAAGAACCAAAGCCCATTAAATGGGAAAGAAATAGTCTATTTAACAAGTGGTACTGGGAGCTCTGGTAGCATAGTGGCTAAGACACTTGCCTGCTAACCAGACGGCTGGCGGTTCAAACCCACCAGCCACTCCTCGGAAGGAAGGTTGGGCAATCCTACTTCCGTAGTGATACTGCCTCGGAAACCCAAGGAGGGGTCGCTATGAGTCAGGGCTGACTCGATGGCACATAACAACAACAACAACAACAACAACTGGAAAACTTGGATATGAATTTGCAGAAAAATTAAACAGGGTCCATATCTTTCATCATATACAAAAACTAATTCAAGATGGATTAAAAACCTAGATGTAAAACCTAACACTATAAAGATTATGAAAAAAAAGGGCAAACTTAGGGGCCCTAATTTATGGCATAAATAGTCTTTGAAACATAACTAAAAATTCACGAACAGCTGAAGATAAACTAGATGACTGGGACTTCCTAAAAATTAAGTTATGTGTATCTAAAGACTTTTCCAAAAGAGAGAAAAGATAACCTACAGAATGGGGAAAAAATTTTTACATTGACTTCTGAAAAGAAACTATCTCTAAAATTTATAGAGAAATTCAACACCTCAACAAGAAAAAGACAATCCAATTTTTAAAAAAAGGCAAAGAACATGAACAGACACTAAATAGTACACATGTATTAAATTGGGTGAAGGGAAAAACGATATACAATAAGGCAGAGATCAGCACAATATGACCAAGGCAAAGGAAGACACTGGGAGGCACACAAGTGTAAAAGGCAACAACATTACACACACAATCCTGCAGTAACAGTAATAACAGTTTACAAGTGGATACGTAGATATGTAAGCTGAACAGGTGTGGGATGACATATGGGAGTGCACCCAGGAGTATATATAGATTTGGCAGAGGATATTTCTACATATTTATTTGTATGTGCTGGAAATATATCCTCTGTAGAGGAGCATATAGGGGGCAAAGTTATGCAAACTTCTTAGCCATAACCAAACACCTCGAGGGACTAAACCACTGGCCTTAAGGGCTGAGGACCACAGTCATGGGAGACATCTAGGTCAACTGGCATAATATAGTCCATAAAGACAGTATTCTTAAAACTCAAAATTATTTTTTAAAAAATCAGGTTTGCTGGTCTGATAGAGCCTAGTGAGACCCCTGAAACTATGTGCCCTTCAGGTCTGGAATTGAACTCACTCCTGTGACTCCCAGCCAAATGAAAGACAGACATATAGGGTGAACATTTACATCAGATAGATGCATTCTTTGGAGAGATCAATCATGGGAGAAGAGAAGGGCAGTGTTTGCACAGGGAGACTGCTTGGGGGGCAGGAGTGCATGGGAGGGAAGGACACAGGGAAGGGGAGGAAGTGGGAAGAGAGAGCTGTTACATCATGGAGAATTGCAGTCAATGTCATGAGACAAAACGTGTATGTACTGCTGTATGGAAAATGAAATTACTTTGTAAACTTTCACCTAAATCACAATAAAAATTTGAGAAAAAAAAGTGTGACTGGGGTCTCAAAAGCTTGCAAGTAGCCATCTATGATACAACTATTGGTCTCTTACCATCTGGAGCAAAGAAGAGTGAAGAAAAGCTAAGCCTCAAGGAAACAATTATTCCCAAGGACTAATGGACAGCATAGTGGCTAAGACACTTGCCTGCTAACGAGACGGCTGGCAGTTCAAACCCACCAGCCACTCCTTGGAAGGAAG